CCGATGCTGCTGTAGGAGAAAGCGAAATCGGGATGATTTGGATGAAGAGATATTTCTCTTATTTGAAGTCCTTTATTGTAATATTCAAGTGCTTTCGGATAGTCACCCATGTCTTGATACAACGTACCGATGTTGTTGTGGGAAATAGCCAGATCGGGATGATTCGAAGGTAAAGATTTTTCGTGGATCTTATGTGCTTTTTCGTAAAATTCAAGCGCTTTCGAATAGTTACCCATATTATTATATGCGATAGCAACGTTGTTGTAGCCACCAGCCAAGTCGGGATGATTAGAAGGCAAGATACTTTCCGTGATTTCTAGATCTTTTTCGTAAAACTCGAGCGCTTTCGCGTAGTTACCCATGTAGTAATATACGGCGCCAATGTTGTTGTAAGTTTCTGCCAAATCAGAATGATTCGAAGGCAGACCTCTTTTTCTTGTTCTAAGTGCTTTTTCAAGGAATTCAAGTGCTTTCGAATACTCGCCCGTTTTGGTATATACTTCACCGATGTCATCGTAGGTGTCAGCTAATGAAAGATGCTCTTCAGGAAGAATATTTTTCTTGATTTCAAGGGATTTTCCATAAAATGAAATCGCATCTTTGTATTTTCCTGCCATTTTATTTACACATCCAAGCTGATGATAGATTTCTGCTCTATCACTATCACTCGATGAATTATTGAATAATTTATCGTAAAGATCTTCAGCTTGGTTGAAGTGACCCGCTCGAATCATTAAGTCACCCAATCTCTGCCATCCTGTCGATCCACGAAGCTCTCCTTCTATCCGATCAGTGAGCGCAGCCAGTTGTGGATCATTATGGTCTGTTAGAGTCAATTGAACTTCCCATAGACGATTATTGTTGATCGTCTGCTTGATGTCTTCAACACGAAAAATGCTATGCATTGAAAATAAAGTTTCCTTTTCCCTTGTAATAGCACTGTATGCATCGATAAGTGCAAACGGAGCGTTTGAGATTGACACTCTACTTGGATCGATTGTGATAATGAAGAGAACACCTACAGTATCAATTTTTTGCAGTGCACGTTCAATGAATTCCATGGCAACGTGTTTTTCTGTACTAGTAGATAGAAAGTTATTAAACGAGAGAAGTCCACCTTTCGTATCAAGTAAATGCTTGAAGTCTTGTTGGGTGTGTCCTTGACCACGGTAAACAATTACTTGTTTCTTATATGCATCCGATTGTTCTCTGTGCAACTGTTGCAGCTGTCGATGGAGGTTGCGGATGAAAAAGCCCATCTTTATCATGGTCCCCATATCAAGTGTCCATAGAGCACGATTAAGCATATTGTACAGGAATATGTCACAGGTATACCACCAGACTGGTGTTTTATGGTAGTATTTTTCTTGAAAGAGCTCCAACTGGGATTCAGGAATGCCTTGACTCCGACAATAAACCACTAAGTCTTGCAACGGCTTAGCATCATCTTCATCAATTTCCAATAGAATCTTTTTAAATAGTAGCGAATACATAAAAGAGGGTTCTAATTGGTCGAGATTTTGTTCATCGGATACTGCTTGTGCTACTATTGTTTCTATCATTAACTTTGGAACAAAGCTCATCGGTATTGCATGGCGGTCGCATTGACATACAGTCGTTTTTAATAAGTCACATATGGACTGAATTGAAGTAAAAATACCTTGAATTTTCGACCAATCTTTTGTCCATTTTTCATGTAGCACTTGGTTGCTAGAAAAGATGTAAATAGAATCTACTTGTGTCATCTTATGAATCTCTGGTACAAGATGCTGACCCAAGTCTCCAGAAGAAATAATAAAAACTTTTTCGCCATCTGCATCATTGAGAACATCAATGCATTGTGCTGAGTTCGTACAGAGACTAACATTGCTGACGACACTTCGTAATTGTGCGAGCATATTTTGGTAATTCTCATTTGCTTCATCAATATTCTCATCGACCCAGATAAGCAAATGATTTTGGACCATGCGGAGTCTTGGTTCGATGTCACTCGATAATTCTGTTGAAGCTGGAACATCACCTATTTCCCATAGGGACATAATTTGTCTGAATAGTTTTCCACCCATATTGAGTACGAATTATCGCTTTCTCGTTAATCTAAAATGGAGGATAATTATTTGTCGGCAAGAAAGAAAGTATTTTTTCTATTAATATTATCGATATATTCTTTTTTTTCTAGATTTTTCTGTCACGTCAAATGTCGATATTTTTTCTGCTAGTATTCAGTAATAAAAATCTACGTAATTGAAATTGAAACTATGATTGCGAAAACTTTGTTCATTGTGCTATTATTCCTTTTCAGCTTTCCTTTACTTTTCATTTACACGATGACTTAAGTATCATCGCGTTGCATACCAGATATGGATGTCCGAAGGAACATATATTCAGTCAAGAATCAAAAGCGTTATGAATGCATTTACATAGGTGCTTGTAATGATTTTATTTTTGCTAGAGTATCGATACATTTTTGCATCTTTTGTTTTTTGGTTTTCATCTGACTCGAATGAAGTACAAAAACAGAAAGTGAATAGTTTAATAGACTATATAATTTAACAAATTACAAATTAACTGTAAATTATATAGTATTTTAAAACGAAAAAATAATATAATAGATGAGTAGAATTGATGAAATGAAAATTAGCAGTTTTTGAATGACGTTTCGGAGTAGAATCAGTCTTCTTCAAATCTTGTTGTTACATACACACACTTCTGATATTCAACGTTGTATATGTATCCATACTTGTATTTTATTTATACATCTATTTTTTTTCTTTCTTCCGATAATGATACAGATAGAAAAAGACGATGAAGCCGAAAGGATACGATACCTAGATTTTCTCATCCAAACAACTATCGAAAGAAAGAAAAAAATATATATGCAATTCTACACGTTAGCAATGAGTATAACAACAACATGATAACCCTTCTAAGTGTTCGACAACCATTGTGGGTGTAAGAGCTACTTCAATCAAGTTTATCGATTATATATACTGAACATCCTCAATCAGAGCTTTCCTAAAATTACCTTCTGGTGTTCTTTGTAGTTACTCTTAATATTCAATTTGAATTTTATCGCTAGTTTAATAATGTAAAAAAGTTGCATATACTCACGCAATAAGTGATACTAGTATGCGAGCTGTGTTTTATACGTTTACAAACGATTTCGCTTCTTATTTATCGTTGATTCGATTGCCTGTTTTTTTTTACTCACATTTTCTTTATTTTAGTCAATGAAGCATGACATTTTAGTTAAGCAATGCAGTCATTTTTCATAATTATCCTCAGCACATGTTTTTTGTTTTTT